CTGTATTATTTACATAATCATCAGTTTCAAGTAAACATATTAAAATTTCCACTTAAAACGACAAAATATTTTTTTTTCAATTTATAAATAAATTTAACAAAATTATTATTTTTTACCAGTCGAATGAAAATCTCCACGAATTGATAATTCTTTTAATGCAACAACAAGATTTCTAAAACAAAAAAATAAATCAAAATAAAAATAACTTAGGAAATAAATTATCAATTTAACAAACTCTCGAGCATCTTCTCGAGTTTCACCATGTGAAAAAACATGTCCAAATTGTGAATCAGCAAATTCATGTAAACCACCAGATGATGATATACTAAAATAACCCCAAACATTTTGTCGACTACGAAAAGTTAATTCTTCAACCGTTCCTGAACTTGGTTTAAAACCCTAAATCATTTTTAAAATAATTTTTTTTGTAGTTTTTTTTCGCTATTTCACTACTTACTTCATTAGGATTTTCACTTGTTATACGTGCTGCAATGGCATGACCATGTGGTTGAGGTTTACTACGTGGATTATCAAAATCTATTGGTGTTCTATCAAATGATTCTTCATCGTACAACAAACGAATGTCTTTTATTCGATGTAAACTTATACCCATAGCAATCTGACAAATGAAAATAAATATAAATTTATAAATCTTACACTTCAATAATCTAATTATACTAGAAAGCTGTCATGACTAATGAGAGAAGTCGTCTAACTGTTCGATCACTTTTATGTCAAGACTATGTGCATTATATAAGTCCAAATGAGCTATGAATATCATGAAAAGAAATCTTGTTCTTAATTTGTTGATACGGAAATAGTGTATCATTTATAGTATTTATTAAATAAATGCCATAGTTCTTCTCAAGGATACCAGAAAAATTAGTTTTCGAATTACGACTTGAAACTTTGTAAAGAGACAGGCCTTAATGAGAGTGGTTTTATTATAAAAGGTTCAGATATTTTGATTTATGCCTATCTATACACATCGACAATATCTGAAACATTCACAAAAAACCTATTCTCGTTAAGGTCTATCTATATTAAAAGTTTCAAGTCGAAATTTGAAAACCAGTTTTTCCTGGTGTTTCCGAGAGAAGTCAGTCACAGCATTTATATAAAAAATACTGTGCAAATGCAGTATCTTCGTAGAAATAAGCTAAGAACACGAACTCTGTTCACGCTATTCATAGTTCATTTGAACCTCCATTCCGCATATAACTTTAACTGAAAGATGATTGAACAGTTAGACGACTTCCCTTGTGAGTAACTATAGTATTCGACACGTATTCATAAAGTATTGTTTGCAAATTTTTGTACTACCATCCATTGAATTATCCAGGACAAATTAATAAAGACGATCTGTCTTGCATTACTCGTCCGATAACATGTTAACCACGCTGAGACATATATCTGCTCGTATTAATGGTTAGTGTGCATTAGGAGCTCAAGCGATGGAGCACAAAAATTCGGTGCCAGACAAACCTTCTGTTCAAAACTACAGCTCGTATTAGTTCTAGAGAAGATATCAGGCTATTAAATCTGCCACTATGGTAGTATTCCATCTATACCACAAGATAGCTGCGCAAAAGCAAAGATATTCTAATTGTGCTGGAAAAAGAAATAGAATAAAAGTAGATTAGAAGCATCAAGCACTGAAAATAATGAAAGACTTTTATCCTGTATAATAGATCTTAAACTATATCTATTCATTCAAGTAATCTTCTTTTCAACGAATGCTCGAAAAACAATTATTGAATTTAAGCCGTTAATTGATCAAAGTTCATCATTCGATATTTTACCTATTGATTCAGTTTTGATTTTACTTAAACTGATATTTATTCATCAACTATTTTTAATGATGCCATATCTTTCACTTTCCATCAACAATAGATATGTCCAAGATTACCGATCTATATCTCAGAATTTAAAACACTGATATTCATAATCCAGTTTCTATAGTGAAAACTCATAATTCGAGTTTGCAAATAAATAAAACATGATAAATTGATTTGAATCCTTAAACATCACTTCGGCTAATTAAAGATTTCGAAACAATAAATCATACCTGTAATTGACATGCAGGTAAATTAACATCCGTAATCATTTCAGTACAAGGATGTTCAACTTGTAATCGTGGATTAAGTTCAAGAAAGAAGAATGTTTGGTCACTTGGATTATATAAATATTCAATTGTACCAGCACTAAATCAAATTTATTTATCTTTTATCACTTGAATATAAATAAAAATTCAACTAACCTAACATAACCAACCATTTTTGCTAAATGTACAGCTGCTTTTTCCATTTGTTCGAGAATTTCTCGTGGTGCTATTATAGCTGGTGCTTCTTCAATAATTTTTTGATGTCGTCGTTGAATTGAACAATCTCGACCAAATAATGATATAGCTTGACCACTTTGATCAGCAAGAATTTGTACTTCCAAATGTCTACAGCTATGTGCATATTTCATTAAAAATATTGGTGAACCTGGAACTTCCGTTTGAACCTAAATTTACGAAACAAAAACAAAAGCACTAGATTAAAAAGAAAATTGTCCGTAGGAATAAGATACAGATCTATGATTTTCAATGGGGTGACAATATTTCTGATCACCAAAAAAAGATACTTTTGATCACCACAACTCTTTGGATACTTTTGGTCACCAAAAAAAGATACATTTGATCACCAAAAAATTTAGATACTTTTGATCACCATTTTTTAGTTTCTTCATTTCAAAATATTTATTTCTGAAATAATGCAACATTCACAATAAGAAAAGTCTGCATACTATTAACAACGTATTAAAAAATCACAAAGACCTATTTACAACTTGGGTGTGGGTATGGGTTTAGATATGAGTATTAAAAGGGCGATTCACAACCCCACACCCACCCACACATTCACACACACACCCCACATCCTGAATACGAAGGAGACGTTACTTTTTGTTAATATAGTAATTTTCCCTATCGCTATGTTGGAAAATTCCTAATTGCTATGTTGGAATTTTCCAAGTATTCATTTTATTCTCGATATTGAATTTCTCCTTCTACTTCTTTATTTTCTACTTGGATTTATACAATAT